AAATAATAGAAAATCTTGCTTCGATTATAATAAATAAATAACATATTTTAACTTTACCTACCAACTAAACTATTTTTTTTAATAACCAACTATCATCAAATCTGGATCCATTAATAAACATCTATCTTGTATAATTTACGCTATGCCCGAAGCTAATCAGCGTATGCACCATATTACTCCAACCCTGGGCGTAATAATAAAGTAAACATAAAAGACAAACAAGAAAATTTAAGTAAATCTTCGATATTTTCTGAAGACAAAAAAAGTAATTAAAATTTATTATATACTTTTCTCTTTTCTCTCTTTCTCTGAGGCCTAAGAGTGAATAAATTTATCATGTGGTATCATGCATATTTATACGCATATTATTAATCTTTAGGTGAATCGATAAAAAGTTAAATAGCGTACATTTAACTGGCAGTCCTGTATATTTAACTAGCAGTCCTGTATATTTAACTGGCAATCCCATATATGAAAAATCATTTTACTAATATAGTTCTCTTGAGAATCTGAGCCATGCTCTAGAAAGTTGAATATAAACTTAAACTGGGTAAATAGAGAAGCATAATGATGCATCAAATATCATATAATTATCATTAAAATAGTATTAATTTTTTTTAAAGGTTTAAGCTATGCTTGAATAGTTGGATGTAAATTCAGCCACTTGACGCGAAAAGCATAATTATGCAACAAATTCATTTGATTATCATTAGAAAGAACTTTTGAGAATCTGAGCCCTGTTCTGAAAAGCTGAATGCAGACTCAAAGCCAACTATACAAGAATTCCAAGAATCATATGATCTTTTTGTAAAAATAATAGAATAATGTTAGTTTTACAAAACCGAATTAATTAGAGAATAAATAGTAATACTTAAAAAGTATAAAAGTCTCTAAAATTTGTCTTAGATAAATCTCATCTTTTTGTTTATCCCTTCAATAAAAGACTTTAATATCAAAAAATTTATAGCTTATTGTGAAACTTCTTTGTTTTCTTAATCTATAAGCCTACTGATTAGTTTCTGACTTCTATCATTTTAGTTTTTTGTGCCCATTGTGTATTCTTGTGATTCTATTTTAGATTGTTATTAGTACATATTTTATTTACAATACAGTAGTTAAGATTGCATATAAAGATTCATTAACCGTATAAACACTAACCTGTTAAGTGTCAAAAATAAATCTTGTATTGCACTTGCTTATTTCGCATTATTTTGAAAATATATCTTTTCGAATAATTAATTGCAAAAAGAATGCTTAAAAGATGACAACAATTTGAAACAAAAATTTTAAGCTTAGGCATTATAAACCCTTAACTTTATTATGAAGTTCGGTCTAGAGCATGGTGAGAAGAAGTTGATATAAAAACAGAAACAGAAGTAAAACATTTTGTAATACTTTACTGCTTATACATGTGTATTGAATATATACTCAATTATAAAAGTTTCATTATTATAGTTTTAACTCATACTCAAAATCTATTAAAGTCGGGTTTTCAATGTACTTGCAGTGAAGTTAAAAGCGGAGTTGAATCAAATCCATCAGCAGCAATCAGTAAATACTATCAGCAAATTTTTATAACAAAAACTGAATACTTTGGTTTGGCTACTATGAGTTTTGAAAATGAATTGATTATTCAACAATTGATTGCTGACATAGTATTTTTTCTAATATTTCTTCACATCGATAAGTTTATCATAGTGGTATCAAGTATTGGAGATCCAGATGAAAATAAATTATATGATATTGGTGCTGGATTTGTTTCTTTATTTATGACACGTTATCATAAAGCACTGTATCTATTTGTGCTAAAAATCGAAGAACACGAGTATGTTTTAAAAATCTACTCAGAATCAGTGTGTGTTGGTAAAATTACAGGAGCAGATCCGGATAAGGTTTGGAACCAAGTGGAAGTTCTTAAAAAATATACCAGATTATATCTTTTTGAAATTACAAATACATTAGTTCAACAACATATAAATATATTAAAAAATGAATCACTAACATGCGCTGTTAAAGAATGGTCGAACACAATGCAACTAGAGAAGGTGTTTAATCGTCATATAAAATCATGAAAAATTTCCAATACAATGAAAACTACCTGGCCAATTCTTTTTTATAATTGGTCTCAACAAAAAGCTTTGTTGTTCAATTTCTACTTATACTACAAAATATTTATGAACCTAATTATATTTTTCATGATAAAAAATTATAAGCATGGTGGGCTATGTTTACTGCTTGCGGATGTACTGATGTAATACCTGTTTTGAAAAAAATCATCATCTATAGAATTTTGGAGTAATGCATCAAACCCTACTGCTGACAAAGAATTATTAAAAAATTTCTATAAAAATAATATTATTTAATTAAATGATAATATTTCACCAGTACAAAATTCACTATCAGTCAAAAATTCACCAAATAAAGTTTGGTGGGATAGCTTTCGGGATGTATTACTATTGAATAAAAAAGGATCAGATAGTATAATTCGTATTCTTTCAGTTATCGCCCTAAATTTTAAATACCGTATTCTTAAAGAAGAGTTAGGTGTAAGTATAGTAATTATCTACAGTAATATAATAAAAATTTTTAATATGAACTTAATATTTGATATTTAATAGGTTGGGTCAGATACAATAAATAAGGCCAGAAAGCATGCACGGCTTTATGGACCAGGCACATCAACCTTACAAAAACCAAAAAGAACTGCTCAAAGATTAACAGATGTTCAAGAAGAGCAATTTCTATTATTTTTTCAAGATAAAGAAAATGTATCAATGAGTTCATATCATGTAGACTCAAAAACAAGATTACCGATCCTATATTTGTGTAATCAAAAAAAAGGTCTATGGGAAAAATTTAATGAAACGTACCCAAACGGTATAAAAAGAACTACCTTTATAACACGTTTAAGCAAAAAACAAATCTTAAATACCATAAAGATCTTGGCAGATTGTGTATGATTTGTAATGATTATGGATATGAAATATTCGAAAATTTGATAAGTACTATAAAAAATTATATTATTAATAAAAATTCTTTGGTTAGTTTATAAGCGTCTAGAAAAGAAAAAAAAGTTAAAAACTAGAAAAACGAAACTAACAAAACTAAATTAAAAAAAGAAATG